CCCCTCTTCCTCTTCCCCCTCCTCCTCCCCCCCTCTTCCCTCTCCTCCTCTTCCTCCTCCCCCTCCCCCTCTTCCTCTTCCCCCTCCTCCTCCCCCCCTCTTCCCTCTCCTCCTCTTCCTCCTCCCCCTCCCCCTCTTCCTCTTCCCCCTCCTCCTCCCCCCCTCTTCCCTCTCCTCCTCTTCCTCCTCTTCCTCATCCCCCTCCTCGGGGACTGTTGGAGAAGCTGTTGGCCGAGCACAACCGGTGGTCTTGTCTCCCTCCAGGCAGTGCCTGCTGTGACCCCCGTGGACGAGGAGGGCTCGGATGGGGAGCCAGACCAGGAGGCCGTGCAGAGGTAACGCCCCCACCTGCCCCCCCGGGGCTTCCGCTTGCTTTTGCTTCCCTGGGAGCTGAGGGCTTCTGCTCCTTTCTCTCACTAACCTCTTTGCACTGGCCGGAGGGCAGGGGTGGCCTTCCGCGAGTATATCGCTCCGGGGGAGGCACCTGGCATTTGCCCAGCTAGTGCCCAGCGGCTTCCTTTCCTCCAGCCGAAGCGGTTTGTCTTTCCTTCCAACACCCGTCTTGTAGCTTCTGCGCTGGGAAAGGCCGGCAGGGGTCTCGGCTGCCCCTTCCCAGAGGTCGGGCTCTTGGAGCCTCCGCGTGAGACGAGCCACTCCAGAACTCAAAGGAGGAGACCGGGAGTCCCCCAGGGGCCTGGCAGCCTTTGAAGGGCTCACCAGCCTCGTAGAGCACAAGCGCCTGGTGAAATGGGCCCCTGGAAAAGCCTTCGGGGGGCCCTGCAGCCCCGGCTCTTCTGCCGAGCCTCCCTTGCGATCAGAGCGTCCTGGCCCCAGGCCCCTCGGCACATCTGGCTCAGGACAGAAGCTCCTTTGGAAGGGAGGCCGGGAAGAGCACGGAAGACCCTTTCAGGGGCCACCCTACGGCCATCGGCCCCAGAGGCTGCCTGGGGGGCAGAGGAGGGGAAGGTCCTTCCGGGGAGGCCGCCTGACAGTCTGCCCGGCCTCAGAGAGGGAGCCGAGCAGAGAAGGATCTTTCCCACCTCTTCCTTTTGGAGGGGGAAGGCGACCTGGAGCTGCTCCTCCCCCCCCTCCCAGGGCTTTCCTAGAGCTGCTCCCGGGGTGTTTCCCCCCCTGCCCCCCTTTGCAGAGGTCCCCCCGGCTTCCTTTTCAAAATTGCCCAGAGAACTTGCAAGGCAATTTTAAAAGCGGAAAGGAGAATTCTCGATGGCGCCTGCTGGCTGAGCAAGTTGGTGGCCCCCATCCTAAATGACAAGGCGGCGAAGGGATCTTGCCTCCTTCCTCCTGCCGGCCCTGGCTCTGCCCTGAGCCCTGCGCCTTCCCTCTCTCGCTCAGCTGAGGTTGACCCCTTGGCTCCTTCTTCTCCGCTTCTCTTGTCCGTCATGGTCCCAGGCCAGGTGGCTGAAGCTGAAGGGCTAGAGAGGCGGCTTAGGGCGGGCCCTCCTGCTGGGCACGGCTGCTCCCCAGAGGCTCAGAACAGAGCAAGCAGGCCCTCTTCACCCCCCAACACGGATGGGGCTGGGCTGCCCTCCTCTCTGCTCCTCCCTGGACCATCTGGATGCGTGTGTGCGTGCGTGCGTGTGTGTGCATGGCGGTGTGGACGAGGGAAGCTGCGCTCCTCATGGCTGCAGCTGGTGATTGGCGGGAGGAAGCCCTCACGCCAGGGCCAGTGAATGGGGAAAGCCAGTCTGGGCAGGCCCAGCCTTTCCTGGTTCCTTAGGGGTCCTCGGTTGGCCTCCCGGGGAGGTGAAGCCTGGCCGTGGCTAGCCAGCGGCCTCCTTTCAGCCCGGCCCCACCTGCATCCTCAGGTGTGGGCCAGGTGCTCCCAAGGCAGCCCCACCCGGAAGGAAAAGGCGGCAGGTTTTCCTTCCTTCCTTCCCGCTCTGCACTGGACGGGCTGCCTGGGCGGCCTGCAACCCCAACCCAGGACTCTGCTGATGGGGGCCACCTTAGAGAGGGTCTCCTGCCAGCCTTGCCCTTCCGCTGGGGGCCCAGCGCAGGTGCTGAGCTAGCTTCCCTTGCCCTCCTTCCTCTTTTCCTCCTGGGTGAGCCTCCTCGCATCTCCAGCTGCTTGGCTTAATTCTCCGGCCCTTCCGCTTGCTCCGGAGTGGGGCTGTGCCAGGAATGGCTGGCCTCCCGCTCTCTCTCTCTCTGCCTCTCTGTGCCCCCTGCCTCGCGCAAGGCCCTAGAGAGGGGGGCAAGAGGCTGCCCCCTCCCCGTCTGCTGCTGCTGCTGCTGCTGCTGCTGGCGCTGCCGCCTTCCCCCTGTCTGCCGGAGGTCCCGGCCCTCCTGTCCTCCAGAGGCTCATCTCCGCTGCTCCTTGCAGATACTTGGCCAATAGGTCCAAAAGGCACACTCTGGCCATGACCAACCCCACCGCGGAAATCCCGCCCGACTTGCAGAGGCAGCTCGGACAGCAGCCCTTCCGCTCGCGGGCCGCACACCTGGCACCTGAGCAGCACCGGTGAGTAGCGGCACCAGACACCTGGGAAGCTCCCCTCCGAGGAGGGCGGAAGCTTCTGCCGTTGGCCCAGATGCCTGCCGCTCTCCGCTTGCCGGTGGCCCCTCGAGTCCCCTGCCCCCGTGGGCTCCCAGCCCCTCCGCACAGCAGAGGCGGGGGCTTTGCCAGCCCCCCGGAAGGCGGCTTGGTGGGCAGCTGGATAAGTGGGTGGCCCCTTGCCAGCTCTCCCTGACTCGGTGGCTCCAGGGTGGAGCTGGGAAACCGCCGCCTCAGCATCAGCATCAGCAGCTGGATAGACTGATTTGTGATCCGGGCGGAGGGACGTGGCCGGAGCTCCCAACCGCCTGTGTTTGTGCTGACACAGAGGCTGCCTCCCCCTCTGGACCTTGCCCGCGTCAACAGCTCCCCCAGGGGATCGGCCCCGGAGCAGTCAAGAGGCCTGCAGTCCCTCCAGGCTGAGATTCCGGGGGGGGGGGGGGGGGGGGGGCGGGGCGGCCGGTTGGCTTTTTCGCCCGGGGGGGTCGTTCC